AAAAATGACCAAAAAAGGAAGGTGCATCCCCTACTATAAGAATCAGATATAGATTTACTGATAGATTACAAAAAAGTCGGACTTTGACTACACAGTTTACTGATACACTATAAAAGATTACAAAAGTCGAACTTTGACTACAAAGTTTACTAATACACTACAAAAGTGTGGACTTAGACTACAAAGTTAGGGTTAGAGTCAAAAGGTTATCTTGACTACAAAGTTTGTAGTGTGCTTGTTCATTAAAAAAGTCTGTAGTGTCCGCTTTTTGAGACTACAAAAGTTTGTAGTGTTGCGCTTTTTTATTAGAAAAGTTTGTAGTGTGTGCTTTTTTAGACTACAAAAGTTTGTAGTGTTGCGCTTTTTTATTAGAAAAGTTTGTAGTGTGTGCTTTTTTAGACTACAAAAGTTTGTAGTGTTGCGCTTTTTTATTAGAAAAGTTTGTAGTGTCCGCTTTTTGAGACTACAAAAGTTTGTAGTGTGCGCTTTTTGAGACCACAAAAGTTTGTAGTGTGTGCTTTTTGATTAGAAGAGTTTGTAGTGTCTGCTTTTTCATTTGGAAAAGTTTGTAGTTGACATGTAGTTTATGGTGTCCTTGGCCCTATCTATGTTATGGGGATGAGGATGAAGGATTGCCATCATATTGCCAGTGCTGCAGCATTAGTATTTGACATCATGCACAAGTTGTCTTTCACATTAGGAAAGGCCATTCTATGTCTTTCATATTGATACCTCCTGTCCTATCTTAAAACATAATTATAAGTTCATGTGGGGATATGGCTGAAGGATTGACATGACATGACCAGTTTTTGACATCATGACCAAGTTTGGCTTTCACACTGTCTGCTTTCACATTGATAGCTACTGGCCTGTCCCAAACATAGTCAACTTTGATACAGGTCTTTGAGGGCTGTATCATGATGGGCTGATTCATCCTTTGAGGTGTCTTTAAGACAGGTCATGTTGTAAGTTGACCATGTATTGAGTAAATATCAACATGAATAGCCTTGAAAGCCAACTTGGGCATGATGTGAGGAACTGATGATGTGGCAATAGCAATATGTAATGTCATGTCAATCCTTCAGCCATATCCCCATATGAGCTTACAATTATGTCTTGAGATAGGACAGGAGGTATCAATATGAAAGACATAGAATGGCCTTTCCTAATGTGAAAGACAATTTGTGCATGATGTCAAATACTAATGCTGCAGCACTGGCAATATGATGGTAATCCTTCATCCTCATCCCCATAACATAGATAGGGCCAAGGACACCATAAACTACATGTCAACTACAAACTTTTCCAAATGAAAAAGCAGACACTACAAACTCTTCTAATAAAAAAGCACACACTACAAAACTTTGTGGTCTAAAAAAGCACACACTACAAACTTTTGTAGTCTCAAAAAGCGGACACTACAAACTTTTCTAATAAAAAAGCGCAACACTACAAACTTTTGTACTGTACTAATACGACCATGACTTCGCATCACGCATCACAGAGGTCATCGAAGGAAGTGAAGTGAGGGTGATGTCACGCATCACCCCGGTTTTCGAAGTCATTTTTTCCTGTTCTAAAATGGCTGATTTTTCTGGCGCCTACGGCGCCCATAGGCATGTAAACGACACGGTGTATATGTTATCTACTTTCTAATGGGAGATGTCCCACCATTTGAGGTTTTCTTGCGTGTACAACCTGTTCTTGATTTTCTTACATTGGCCTCGGCCTTCCCGCTCTACGGCCGTGGTGGGGTCGAGTACTTGGCCTTCAACCTCTTCAATAAGAGTCTCTTCTGCTTCAGTTGCTGGTATGACTCCATCTTGTCCCATTGGCACAAAAGCCTGGTCTGGCTCGTTGAAAAGTTGACATGAACGTCATCCTCAACAACCAATTGCAGAAGCGCCGAAGCCATCACACTCTTCGTCACGCATCACATCGGCTGTTGAAGCGGCGAAGAGATGGTGAAAATATGTCACGCCCTATAGGGCCCGAGGACTTGGTCGTATTAGTACAGTAGTCTCAAAAAGCGGACACTACAAACTTTTCTAATGAAAAAGCGCAACACTACAACTTTTGTAGTCTCAAAAAGCGGACACTACAGACTTTTTTAATGAAAAAGCACACACTACAAACTTTGTAGTCAAGATAACCTTTTGACTCTAACCCTAACTTTGTAGTCTAAGTCCACACTTTTGTAGTGTATTAGTAAACTTTGTAGTCGAAGTTCGACTTTTGTAGTCTTTTATAGTGTATCAGTAAACTGTGTAGTCTAAGTCCGACTTTTTTGTAGTCTATCAATAAATCTATATCTGATTCTTATAGTAGGGGATGCACCTTCCTTTTTTGGTCATTTTTCCCACGATACAATAATTGTAGCCCTTTATTTTAGCTTTCTGAATATACTGAAATCATGTTATTTGGTTTTGTTTTCATAGAGAAAAACACAAAAAAAAAAAAAAACGCAATGCTTTTGAAATTCCTTTACCTCATATCTCCACAATGGGAGCACTTCGGAACATAATTCAAACAGATTCGGGAAGCTACAGTGTAGGGCTACAACTTTCATTTTTGACCATTTTTGTTAATTTGTCATGTGACCACCCTCCAGGGAAGCCCATTGCATGGACCCTGACATGTGGGATACATTTGAAAAATTGCAATGAAATATCCAGGGATACATTTGAAAAACCGCAATGAAATGCCCAGGGCTCCATTTGAAAAATCGCAATGAAATACCCAGGGATACATTTGAAAAATCGCAATGAAATGCCCAGGGTATCTATTGAAAAATCGCAATGAAATGCCCAGGGTATCTATTGAAAAATCGCAATGAAATACCCAGGGATATATTTGAAAAATCGCAATGAAATGCACCAGGTATCCATTGAAATTTTGCAATGAAATACCCAGGGATACATTTGAAAAATCGCAATGAAATGCCCAGGGTATCTATTGAAAAATCGCAATGAAATGCGCCAGGTATCCATTGAAATTTTGCAATGAAATATCCAAGGATACATTTGAAAAATCGCAATGAAATACCAAGGGTGACATTTGAAATTTCCCAATGAAATACCCAGGGTATCTATTGAAAAATCGCAATGAAATATCCAGGGCTACATTTGAAATTTCGCAGTGAAATGCGCCAGGTATCCATTGAAAAATCGCAATGAAATACCAAGGGTGACATTTGAAAATTTCCCAATGAAATACCCAGGGTATCTATTGAAAAATCGCAATGAAATATCCAGGGCTGCATTTGAAATTTCACAGAAAATGCGCTGGGTATCTATGGAAAATTCACTATGAAATACCCAGGCCTACATTTGAAATGCCTTTCAAAAAATCCTAAGCATTATAGATATGGCCTCTAGGCTTATGTCTAAGTTATAGAAATGACCCTCTAGGCTTAAGTCTAGGTTATAGATAAAAGTGGTAGCCACCAGTCTAACACCCTCTTAGATACCATACTAGGTTATACTACCCTTTTGCTCTCCATACTAGGCTTCACTGGGCTTTCACGTTCCATCCTAGGGATTGCTAGCCTGTTAAGCCCCATCCAAAGCCACACAAGCGAGATACTAGGTAAGTAGGCCCATACTATATATACCAAATATATACTAGGCCTACCATGGAACGTGAACTTTTGCTGATGCTGGCTCCACGTGCTCCCGTCTCTATTGAACACCTCTCATGCCTTCGTCGCTCTCTGAATCTCTCCTCCCCGTTCCATGCCGCTGTGTGGGCTGTCGCTCTCGTGACCTTTTTTGGCTGCCGCTGTCTTGGCGAAACTACTCTTGCCGTTGGCGCTGCCTTCAATCCTAAATACCATGTACTGCGCTCAACCAAGTACGTTTACTTTATTCTTACTGCTTACCACTCTTTCTTATTACTTTCTTCTCAGAATCCTTTCCGTGTACTGCGTGATGGCACTCACTCTGCCACTTTCGATATCCCATGGACAAAGACGACCAAAGAGCTTGGTGCCTCTGTCATCCTCACTGCCCGCCGTGAGAATGATCTCTTGTGCCCTGTTGCAGCCTTGACATCAGGAAAAACTAAAACTCACAATTGTGCACAATTCAGCTGGTTAATCGTGTTGTGCACAATTGTTGGTAAATTCTTCTCAATTCTGCTCAATCGAAAATGGAGATGTCGATTGTGCACAATCATTCATAAATTCCCGTCAATTCTTCTTAACTGAAAAACCAGAATTTACATTGTTCACTCTTGTCCTGAAAAGTGGTAAAACCCCGTGTGGCTTAGTTATCTGTTGAGATTTAAATCAACTTAGTTGGAGGTGATCATATGGATATGATTCAATGGATTCTATTACTAACATTTTGAGGTTCTATATTAATTAACTACAGAGGGCAGCGTTGTCGCAGCGTTTCGGTGTTAATCATCCCAACGTCGACGGAGTGGGCTCGTGTCCACAGCAGAGTCTATAGTGAGACCCCAAGCCCCATTGACAACAGCAAACAAGGGCGTAAGTGTTGTCGACGGCTGCGTTATCAGTAGTGAAGCCGGTGTGGTTTCTCAACCGCTGTGTGTGGTGCGCCAACGGTGGTGAAAAAGGTGGCAGATGGACTGCAGACTGCAGCAACAGCAGCAGCAGAGGTGGAGGTGGTGTGGAAAGTGGGGCAGTCAGCATTATGAGAGCGCAATGGGTTGGGGTACTTGCCTTCGTTGCAGTCCTCACCATCGGCTCGCAATGGGTACTCCCTCCGGTCATGTTGTGGCTTTGTTTCCACGAGGCTCGCAATCCTGATCGTGCTCATTGAACTCGAGACTTGGTGGCCACTTCCTATTCGTGGTGTTTGTCAAGACGCATGGGTGGTTATGGTTGTGGAATGGATGGCGGTAATTCTTCCCAAGTCAGTTCAAGCTCCGATACACGTGACGTTGTTGATTGTTGAAATCAACAGAACTCTACTTCGTCTTTCATCCCCACTCTCCTCCTCCCACCACCATCCCCATCACTGTCACCACTCTTCATGACCACTGCCTTACGTCGTGAGCGCCTACCATGGCTAGGGCCGTGCCAGCTTCACGAGCATCGACGGTGCATGGAGAAGATGACGTGGCACGTCAACGCTCCCCTCTGGATGTGCCACATCGTCCACACGGCAACGACACATGCTGTCATCGCCGTCCACAATAGTGCAGGTGAGCACATCACGGCGTAAGCCCTACAAGCCTCCCTTCTTTCCCCTCGCTAATTACTACAACCTGCTTAGCCGCCATCGTAACGCCCGCCAACCACTGCCACGTCACCGCCTCGCCCACTGCCACATTGGGCGATGATGACGGGACATGACGATGACGACGACACCCTTGAACGGCCATGTTATAACTATTTGAGGCCTTGGGTCTCGTCAGAGTCGAAACGCTGGCCATCGAGGTATGTATTCCTCTCCCTCTAAACCCCACCCCAGCCTGATGCGACAAAAGCTAGCTGATCAACCTCAGGCGCTCCACCACTTGTGCAACAGGGTATGTCTACGTCCCCCCTTTCTTAAATTCTTTTCAAAAGCACCTCCAGGTACGATTAATCCCACCACCCCACCCTCTGTATGCGCAAACACGTACGCGGTGTTCTCTAGCACTGCAGGGCAGATGAATGGGCTGCGACACGATGTTAGGGACAGTGGATCAATGTGACAGAGGAGTGGTATGCATTTGAGATGGGAGTGGAGGAAGGAGGGTGAAGCGTTTGCGAGGGAAGGCGCTAGCACTTCGAACAAGATATTTCTTTGGCTTGTGTTTTACGTAGTTTATAATGTATAGTCAGTCGCCATCCAATGCACTCTTCAACTTGAATTCTCCTTTGTTGTGTCTAATTGCGTGAAAAAGAGCATCAATTCTGTGGTACAATAAAATAAAATGAATGGTCAATTGCGCGCTAGGCATCATCAATTAAGCACAATTAAACGGTGCCCGTTTTATTTTACTTAATCCTGTCAATTCTCTCAAAAGTCACAATCCGGTCATTTGTGTGTAATTTACGGTCAATTCTGTATAAATCATATAAATTACGGTCAATTCAGAGTCTCAAGATTTCCTGATGGAAGAACCATCTGGATGTCAACTCTTCCATTCCAGCCTCTTCTGCACTTTTTGCATACAAAACATCTTCGGGCAGCCCCAAGAACCTCCTCAAAAACGAGTTTCTGAGCTTCGTCACCGGCATCTGGTCCTCCGCTATGCTCGCCCATGTCTTGGGACACAGTTTCCGCATTGGCGGCGCAGTTGAACTACTTCTTGCAGGTGTTCCGCCTGAAATCGTTGCAGCCACTGGTGGATGGACATCTCTTGCCTTCCTCCTTTATTGGCGCCGTATGGATGAAATCCTCCCCATGTCAACCTCAAAAGCTTGCAACCACATCTGGAAACAGAACAATGTCTACATAGATCTATGTAGACGTATAGTGATCGGTAGGCCCGTTGATAGCCTCCTCGTATGTAAAGCTCTGTAATTTCCCCTTTTTACGGTAGTTCAGAGTAGTTCGGGTAGACAATTCCTAGCCGGTCTACCAGGCTCTATGCGGCCTACCGATCAACCAGATCTCAATAGCGATTGAGCGGATTACAGGCACATCTGATCTGTCACCTGCATGGTCTTTCCAGTCACGCCAAAAATGCCGAAAATATCAAAAAAGTATGCAAAAAAATCATATTGCAGCAGCTTGTACTTTACATGCCACCGTAAATTAACTACAAGTACATATATCAACATACACAGGATGTCGGCCACTGCACACTGGAAGGAGCAGGGGATGAACTCGATGTGCAGTCAAATTGATGCCCAGCTTCGCGTGACCATCGTGGACATTCCCCGGCATCGCACAATCAGTTGTCATGGTGCGCCCCCACTCAAACGTGAACCTAACCGTGATAGCGATGGTATTGACTTTAAACAAGGCATTAGCGCACACTCAACAAACAGAAGGGAATGGTGAAGCTCACTGTCATGATTTTCTTGGTCCATAGAAACTAAACATGCAGTGCTGACGCGCAGGGTCGGACTCGATGTGCTTTGAGTCAGAGTTATGCAACAAGGTGAACGTCAGCTCACCAGATGGAATGTGGGGTGAGCAATGACTGCTGTCCATAAGCAGTCCAGGTAAGCATTATACAGGAGGTGTTGTATGCATAATGGAGCTTACCGATGGTAATGGTGGGTGGTGATTGGGAGAACTTTTGAGTCTTTGTGAGGGTAGAGAGAAGAGGGTAAGGAGAACATTGAACGTTGAACGTTAACGTTCAAAAAGCACGGTCGAATGGTTCATGCCATCAGTTCTCCCACGGCCTGTTTTTGGCACTGGATAACGCCACTCGCATCATTCCAGGTACAGATCATCCGCCAAGCCTGATATTCTATGGCAAGTATGGATATACAGGTAGCTACAGGTCTACCAGAGACTACTGGACCTAGGTAGCTCTAGGTAAATCCAAACATTTATGTACGACTACATAATCACAACTAAATTACCCGGCCAAAACGCCGTTCCAGATGCAAGCAGATCTTCATCGCCTTGCATCTATTTTTGAAGAATTCCGCATTGCCCATAAACTTCCTTCTACTTCACTTGATAATTTTACATCCCTCTAAATTGTATAACATCCTCTCTCATATTATTTGTATGTAACTCTTCTGTAACAACCTCCCAACTCTCCCATGTCTCCGTAAAATGTTACTCTCCTTATTGTATCCTTAAAATGTTATTTGACATTGCCCTAAACCTTCAATCCGACTGACACTCAATTGGGCAGCCAGATTGGCTCATCCTTGCCTCACCAATCTGCCGTTGTGAGCTTACACTCGGATTGGCACTGTCAGTTGGTTTCGGCAAGTATTCGCCACAATTGACTTCGCTGGATGCTCAAGTCTTGTTCACGTGACCCCTTCGTGTCTGGGCAAGACTTTGGCACAACCAAGTTATTCGTGAACTCGAATTACTTGTTTACTTATCCCTTTCCTCTGCATAGAACACAACAGTTATCTTATCACAGCGTCTTCACCTCATTCTTGTTATAAATCACAATCTGGGCGTGAGTGCGGGAAGATTGATCAGCTGATCAACAACAATTGGATCACCGTGACAAAGGTTGCCCTCGACTGCCATCATCTCGGACACGAACCCCGCTCGTTACAAAAGGTGAGTGTCTCTTTGACGTTGCCCTTGACCAACTCCATCCGACAACAATCACAAGGTTACTTTAGGGTCTACCCACCAGGCGCCTTTGTAGACATCAACCTAGAACTCGTTGGCAGGATGCCATCTGCAGGCGTGGGGGTAATGACCTCCACCCTCGAACGGCTAGGGCGTTCATCATGTGAGTGATTTGCGCCCATGAGGCGATCAAGCAATCGCTTGAACTGTTCTTTCGAACGATCAGACATCGTGGTTCAGAAGAGAGCGTCGATGCTGTGCGGCGTCAATTTGCACAATGGTAGCGGGCCGCTTCACGGGGTCACATGACATTCCTAAGGTCCCAGCACATCGTTCAAAGAGGTGAACGCGCAGTGGTGTGGTTCGGCATCAAGTCAGCGAGGAAGCGCCTGGAAGTGCCAGAAAAAACGGTGGTCAACGGACAAGTGCGAGAAAGGGAAAACAACGACTTTCAGCGCTCAAGGGGACGAAGAGGCAACATTTCACTTCAGATATTCAGAAGGGCAGCAGATCCGCTATGGAGACAAGCTAGAACGAACATTAAATCACAAAGACGAGCACACATAGCTGGCTCTTTCACCATCATCCAAGTAGGACCGAGCGACCTCATATCCCTAGACGCCATTCTGGCTTTACCTCCTGTCATCCATCCTCGGCGCCCCTCGCATTCCTTCTCTCCCCTCTCCCTACCATCCTCCTCGCTAATCCGCACGAGCGCGGGTTGTGTTTCATACGCTGTAGGAGGATAAGGACCCACTGAGGCAGAGGACGAATGATGAGGGTCGCAAGGATGATCTTGGTTTCCTTCAGCACAGGCATCGCCACATCACGGATCCTACAAAAGACCAATCGATTAGGTCATCGTCAAGAAGGAACAGTCATGTCGTACCCAACGCAAGAAACTCTGGTGCACAGATACCTCACTGTGCTTCCAGCATTCGATGCTTGAATGGGTAGGACTTCGGATCTTCGATCGTATTCGTTCCATTACCACTGGACGGTTGTCGTTAGGGCGAGCCGTTGGTGGAGCTGTGGACAGCTGAGACCGAAGTGGGGAGGACCAAAGGACAGCATCGGCACAAATCAATTAATCACGGAACACCAAACGGCCGCAGGGGTCGGCATGGGCAAGCATACCATCCTTCGCATCGACGTTCGAAGCATAGAACGTCCTACCCGTAATTGAATAGCATGGCCACAAACCGACTGCTTCATGACTAGCCTCTCCGCCGCACCGTGAAGACAGTGTCTATATCGTTCGTCGTGCTTAAACACGTGAGTTGAGTCAAGGGGGGTATGATATGCGAGGTGAACTGTAGGATGCATGATCAGGAACTTCGAAGAAAGTCGGTGATAGAAGGGACATACCGTAAACCTCAGCAACAAGATGGTTGCGCACGTAAAAGCCAAAGGGTTACCACCAGAACCGAGTCTCTGTTTGCCTTCGATCCCAAGTCACTTGAGAGAGGTTGACGGGTAGAAAGGTGCCGCACGAGTATGGGCTTCTGACTCGACTCAAGCCAAGAGACCGTAAGTTTTCGAGGCGCATAGAAACCGACATCGTTTGACTAACTGCACGACAGAAAGTTATCAGCAAAACGAACTTGAACGAACGTTGCACACTCACACCGAGTTTCGAGCGCAGGGGCTGAACAAATTCAAGTGCCTGGAAAGGCGGATAGTGTGCAACGGGAAAGGTGAGCTTGTATCGGGAAAGCACGAATGGTGGCTAGATCATAGAGACGTAGAGTTGGCGGAATCGATGGTGTTTGAGGACGCCGTTGCTTCGAGTCCAGTATTAGTTTGTTTTTGCAATCGTCCTTTCCGAGATGGTGGTGGTCCCCTGCAAGTAGAATGTTTTGCCCCTGGTTCCCGCTGAGAGGTTTAACACCATAACAAATGGCCCCCGCGTCGGCGTTGGTTCATCACCTACGGGACGGTGTGCTCGTTTGTGTAAACTCGATGCCTCAGCGTTGCCACGTCATTGACCCTTCAAAACGATAGTGTGATTAGCTCGTCACCGAAAGCCAGAGGTGTTGCAGCCATACCCAAAGCAACAGGATATACAAGACGTCTCCCAGCGCTTTACGTATAGGAGTGGTCCAAGGCAAATTGATGCGTCGTAGTGAGTCGAGTGCGTCGGACGTTGAACGTGCCTTGGTCGATCTTAAGCCTGACCAAGGGAAACCAGGGCCGCAACATAGCTAAGAGCAGCAGACTGGTACCGGGGTTTTTGAGCTGCCCTCTAGAAATGAGGACGGTTAGCATGAATTGATCGGTCAAAAAATTAGCGTTCGTACCTGCGATGAACCACTGGTTTTGGTTCTGCTCCTCCACAACTACCCTCTCCTCTGCACCTCGTGTAAAACTCATTTCTGCTACAAGTCGTCCTCAGCACATCGTCGCAGGGACCGGAGCCTATCCCTGGCGTGCGTGAATCGAGTCCGAGGGGACGGTACGGTACTAGTAAGTGCATTGTCAGCGAACTAGCGCTGAGAGAGGGATAGCTGAGCGTGGACGTACCGTAGAAATCCGTGACGCAATCTTCCGGACTCGTCCTCCAGTCCTCAATCTGTGATTAAAACGTTGACGGGCAGTGTATATGGCTGCTTGAGATTGCGTCACAAAGGGAGAAATTATGGACGGTGACCGGTATGCGCCAATAAGAGACTTGAGCGGCACTGGATGACTCGTCAGCGAGAAGAGGGCTGGATGGATCTGAGAGACACGTACACGATTACCCTGGATGGACACACACTGTTAAACGATACGAGAGGGCGAGGGGAAGTGTCTGAGCGCGGTTTTCATCCTTGGCCAAAGTGCTGAAGTTACGGGAGAGGGTACCTCGCTGGTGTGTTTAGAATGTGCAAACAAATTCATTAGCTCATTTCCTTTGTCTTCGGGAATCCCAGAATGTACTGCCGGGAGCGCACGACTTTGTTATAAGGGATGCAACCCTCAATATGGCTAAAAATGTGTGTCCTGTGATCCGAACAGCATTGATGGTTTGAAATATGATTGATTGGAATTTTTGACAAGATTATTGTGGTTCATGAACATCGGGGTCAAGGTGAGATAAACTATCCCAACAGAACATAGCTTCGTGGCACACATATACCCACAGATTCCATCTAAAAACTGAATCACGAAATGACATCCTATAAAACTCGACAGTCATCTTACGGCGAACCCACCGGTTGCATGCAAGGGACCCGCGTCAAGGTCCTCGAAGAATTGGACATTTGGGCCTCGGACGCCAATAGCAGCAGGGTATACTGGATGGTAGGTATGGCTGGAATCGGTAAATCAACCATCGCGCACACGTTCTGTGAGAACCTCGAGGCGAAAAACATTCTTGGTGGCAGTTTCTTTGCTTCTCGAGCATCCGAGAAAACTAGAAACGCACGCCTTATCATTCCTGTTATAGCACATTCATTGGCCAGAGCTTCACCTGCTATCAAAGTTGAGGTCGTCAAGGCCATCGAGGATGACCCTACTCTGGCGGAAACGACCTATTCTAACATAAAGGAGCAGTTCAAACGACTCATTTATGATCCCGTTCAAACGACCGTCGGTGGGGTGGATAAAGTTGTCGTTATTGATGCCATCGATGAATGTGCCAACCTTGAAGTTGTCACTTCGTTCATCAAACTTGTCCTTGAATTGGCGTCGAAAACTCCGCTCAAGGTATTCCTCACCAGTCGAGACGAATATCGGATTCGCAAGGCCTTCGAGTCTGGGGATCGCATACGATTCTGTCTCCATGAAATCGAGAAGGACGTGGTCAAGAACGATATCCAAACATATCTCGACATATCATTGGCCCGCATTAAAGAAAACGACAGCGACGAATGGCCCTCTTCCAGCGAACTGTCCGTTCTCGTCAAACGATCTGGTACACTCTTCATTTACGCAGCAACTGCTGTTCGTTATATCACCAACGGTGATGAAGACTTTAAGTCCCGTCTTTCCGCAATGGTGATCCATGGCCAGAAATCAATCAGCAAGTTTGAGACCGACATCGATTCTCTCTATATACACGTCTTGGAAAAGGTCTGTGAAGGCAAGGAGTTGCATGAAGTTGCTCCTATGAGAGACCTCTTGTTGATCACCATATTCCTTCGAAATCCATTGTCGATGGAAGCCCTTACATCTCTGTCACTGGAAAGGAACACACACTCATATTTGTCGCGTCTCTGCTCTGTTATTCACATTCCTGATCAACCAGGGGCTGTGGTTGCTCCATTCCATGCCTCATTCCCAGACTTCATAACTGATCCCAAACGTTGTTCTCCTGAGCGTTTTTCTTCTGAGCGCTCTGCATTCCCTGCCTTGGATGCTTCAGAGGGTCATAAACTGATAGCCCTGAAATGTTTGGAGCAGATGAACAGGTCACTGAAGTACAACATATGCGAAATTCCCAAAGAATTGACAGTGTTCCGGAGAGGTAGGACCAACTCTCCGCAAAACATCGACAAAATCTCAGAAGTGCTCAAATACTCATGTATCTATTGGGCTGCTCACTTAGCAGAGGTCAAGAAATTTGACTGTGTACTCGTCGAGGCTCTTCGTGTTTTTCTGCACAAGCATCTTTTGCACTGGATAGAGTGTCTCAGCATACTGGGTGAGCTGCAGACTGGACTGAAATACCTGGGTGGCATAATGACTCTTTTATCAGTAAGTTATTGGCCAGAATGAAGGTGATTCTAATAATTTTGTGATTGACAAGTCTTCAAATTCCATGACCTTCAGTTACTTGTTCACGATGCCCGCCGGTGCTTACAAATGAACTTTGAAGCTGTCCAGAAACATTGCATGGGGATCTATGAGTCTGCACTTACTTGGATCCCGAAGAATTCAGTGATATGCAAAACCTACATTGCAGATGTCAGCAGAGTTCCAAAAGTGACTCTTGGATTATCTGACTCCTGGGACCCTGCAGAGCTGATTTTACAAAATGGCTCACTGGTACTATCTGTTGCATTCTCGCAGGATGGCAGTCGAGTCATCTCTGGATCATACAATGGAACACTCCGAATTTGGAATGTGACGACGGGCAAGGTGGAGGCTGAACTGAAGGGCCACACAGGTTGTGTGAATTCTGTTGCATTCTCACAGGATGGCAGCCAAGTTGTCTCTGGATCAAATGACAAAACAGTCCAAATTTGGAATGTGACAATGGGTGAGGTGGAGGCTAAGCTGAAGGGCCACACAGATTTTGTGAGGTCTGTTGCATTTTCGCAGGACAGCAGCCAAGTCGTCTCTGGATCAGATGACAAAACAGTCCGAATTTGGAATGTGACAACGGGTGAGGTGGAGGCTAAGCTGAAGGGCCACACAGATTTGGTGAGGTCTGTTGCATTTTCGCAGGACAGCAGCCAAGTCGTCTCTGGATCGGATGACAAAACAGTCCGAATTTGGAATGTGACAACGGGTGAGGTGGAGGCTGAGCTGAATGGCCACACAGATTTGGTGAAGTCTGTTGCATTTTCGCAGGACAGCAGCCAAGTCGTCTCTGGATCGGATGACAAAACAGTCCGAATTTGGAATGTGACAACGGGCAAGGTGGAGGCTGAGCTGAAGGGCCACACAGATTTGGTGAACTCTGTTGCATTTTCACAGGATGGCAGCCAAGTTGTCTCTGGATCAAATGACAAAACAGTCCGAATTTGGAATGTGACAACGGGTGAGGTGGAGGCTGAGCTGAAGGGCCACACAGATTTTGTGAGGTCTGTTGCATTTTCGCAGGACAGCAGCCAAGTCGTCTCTGGATCGGATGACAAAACAGTCCGAATTTGGAATGTGACAACGGGCGAGGTGGAGGCTGAGCTGAATGGCCACACAGATTGTGTGAGGTCTGTTGCATTTTCGCAGGACAGCAGCCAAGTCGTCTCTGGATCGGATGACAAAACAGTCCGAATTTGGAATGTGACAACGGGTGAGGTGGAGGCTGAGCTGAAGGGCCACACAGATTTGGTGAGCTCTGTCGCATTTTCGCAGGATAGCAGCCGAGTCGTCTCTGGATCGGATGACAAAACAGTCCGAATTTGGAATGTGACGACGGGTGAGGTGGAGGCTGAGCTGAAGGGCCACACAGATTTGGTGAGGTCTGTTGCATTCTCGCAGGATAGCAGCCGAGTCGTCTCTGGATCGGAGACAAAACAGTCCGAATTTGGAATGTGACGATGGGTGAGGTGGAGGCTGAGCTGAAGGGCCACACAAATATTGTGAGGTCTGTCGCATTCTCGCAGGATGGCAGCCGAGTCGTCTCTGGATCGCATGACAAAACAGTCCAAATTTGGAATGTGATGACGGGCGAGGTGGAGGCTGAGCTGAAGGGCCACACAGATTACGTGATATCTGTTGCTTTCTCGCAGGACGGCAGCCGAATCGTCTCTGGATCGAACAACAAAACAGTCCGAGTTTGGAATGTAACAATGGGCAAGGTGGAGGCTGAGCTGACAGGCCACACAGTGACAAGTTCTGTCGCATTCTCGCAGGATGGCAGCCAAGTCATCTTTGGATCGCATCACAAAACGGTCCAAATTTGGAATCTGACGACAGGCAATTCTCAAGCAATGCTTGCTTCAAACATAACATTGCCTGACGACAGTAGAGTGAATAAAACTGGCCATGGGGAATTCCACATTTCCTATCCCTTGCAGCAACCTACACTCAGTATGAATTCCTCTACCCAGTTATCAAATAGCGGTGACTGGATAATGGCCAACCTCCGAGACTGCTGTATTCCCTCTCAATATCGCAAGTTTCGGTGTTCCTCAATTTGGGGCAGCCGAATATGTTTGGGGTACCAATCTGGCCGTGTAGTCATTGTTGATATGAACGTGGCGTTATGAATAGTGTCAATGTGTCCTCGCATGATGCCTGCCTCAGTAAAACTCAGCTCGAAGACCATCACCTGGCATAGCATTAATGACTCCAGTTCCTGTTTGTTAATTCATGGTCTCATTTACGATGTTGTCAGTGCCTCCACCCATTAAGCAGAAAATTAATTCAAATGTCTTGTACGCATGAAAGTAGAAGGTACTGGGGCTTGAGTGGCTGAGTTTCAAGTTGGCCCTACAAATCATTCGAATTGTGGGGCGGGATGTTCCCATGAACACTGTAGAGTATTAAAAACAAACCAATGAAAGAGCGCACAGATTTACGGGAATTACGAGATGAAGGCAGCTAGAATCCAACAAGCCATTTGAGTTACCTCGTAATGTCGGTCGTAACCTTCAACCTGTTCCAGCTGCCCCACTGTGTCTTCAGTAAACGTTCGGAGGTGAATTCTATTTCCCTTAATTGGACGATTGTGGACATACGGACCTCACCTTAAACACATCCCGGTTGTGAAATTCCCAAACGGAGAACGCCGGCTTGTGTGGGTGATGGACAGTGGAAGATGGAGCCGTCGGCAGAAGAAAAGCGTAAAGCTCGGGGTTATTGTCTATACCTTACCTTTGGCAAATATAAGGTCAACTTGATCCCTGGAATTAAGGACGAAGCAGGACGTACCTCCAAAGAACTATCTGTAACCACAGAGACTTGGTATGGGTATAAAGTAGGACAATGCGATGCGCTGGGAAAAAAAGAGCGAAAGGGAAAAGCTGAGGCCTGCGCTGACGATGAAGGACAGTCTCGCCGGTTTTTATCTCTGGAAAAGGGTTCAAAAACGAAAGGTTCGAAGCGGGAGGATGGACTCGGAGACTCATGATGCAAGCCATATATACGTATAATGACAAGAGGAGATTGGCAACGCCCGTCTTCAAAACGGTTGAGTTCAAAGGGCGATGCAAAGCTCGAGTCTCAGGTTGGGTTGAGAGTGATCTGATGGAAAGGGACACAATGGGACGTTCAAGTGTAATTGTCGATAACGGGGATTCTAATGAATGAGGTCGTTACGTCTGAGGTGGTGATGGCTTCCCACTGGCATTATGTTGGAGGACGGCGTTTTGAACTCTGCCGAACATGCATTTAGCTTCGATTTCAAACCGGCGCATTGTGTACAAACAGTGCCAGCGTTGCGGTGAATGGTGGGTGTAGGAGAACTTAGAAGGGAGGGATGGATGATGAGGGCATCATGATTATGGAGGTTAGTTCAAATTGGTGGGAACGTGTAAGATTAGCTATACGAAGATAACGTAGACTCAGTGTTTGCGCAGGTAAGCCAAACGACTGTAGATTCACCTATACGAAGATAACGTAGACTACGGGTGAATCAGTAAAGTGAAATAGAAAGTAAGTAAAAGATATTCACCTCAGTGTTTGCGCAGGTAAGCCAAACGACTGAGGTGGAAGTACGTAGAGTCCAGTATTTATGTTCTACGGAGTAACTAAAGGCACGCATTACATTTGGACGCGTGCAAGGAACATATCACGAGTGATGAAGAATATGAAATATAAAGGAACATGTGAGTAAGGGGAACAGAATGTAAGCAAGGGAATTTATCCGAGGATATGGAGACGGCGAGGACGTCGTCACCTTGATTATTCCAACACTCCCCCTCAAGGGACGGAAAGTCCGAGCTGGGACGCGAAGTGCTTGACCTTAGCGGATGGAAGGGCTTTGGTAAGGGTGTCGGCAACCATGTCGTCCGTAGGGCAATAGATAAGCCGAATAGAACCGTTTTCGATGACATATCGAATAAAATGAAAGCGGATGTCGATGTGCTTGGTACGTGCGTGGTACTGGTGATCTTTGGCGAGTGCGATGGCGGACTGATTGTCCGAGAAAAGAGTGGTGGGGTCGAGTTTGCCGGGGAAGAGTTGTGAGAGGAGGGACCGAATCCAGAGGCCCTCCTTAGCGGCATGAGTGACGGCAACGTACTCGCTCTCCGTGGTGGAGAGAGAGACGATCTCCTGCCGTTTAGCACTCCAAGAAACTGCTCCCCCATGAAGCATGAATGCGTACCCAGAGATAGCATGCCTATCCTCTGCCATGCTCCCATCTGCATCTGCATACCCGACCAAGTTATCCTTCACCGCTCCATATGACAACCACAGATCCGCCGTGCCCTTCAAATAGCGAAAGATTCGCTTGACGGCGTCCCAATGCACAAGACCGGGGTTCTTCGAGAACCGAGAGACAGTCTGAACTGCAAACGAAATGTCAGGACGAGTGCCGAGGGAGGCATACATAAGGGAGCCGACTGCTTCCAAATAAGGGACGTCGCGCATCTTGGCAATTTCGAGCGTAGTGGCTGGAGCCTGGGAGGTGGAAAGACGGGTGCTGGTCTCCATGGGCGTCGATACCGGCTTCAAATCTTGAAAGTTGTATCGGGCAACGATGGAGTCGATATACGAGCGTTGGGACAGGTGAATGGTACGGCGTTCACGGTCGCGTTTGATCTCGATGCCGAGGAGCCAGTGAAGTTCCCCCATGTCAGTAATCTCCACATACTGAGCAATCTGCCGCTTGAAGGCGACAATGAGGGTAAGCGTGGATGCGGCGATGGTGCAATCGTCGACATGAACGACGATGATTATGGTAGCCACCGCTTCTTGATCTAGAACTTCCACATACGCTTCTTTCCCACGGTCCAGGCCGTGCAAAAGTCGAAGCAGTATGGAGGAGAACACAGACAGTAGCAATAGAAAAACCCATAAACATAATTCCCCAAGCACACATGCCTCACAAAGATACTCCCAACCCATCCCAACCCAGTACACCAAACCCACCCAACCGGAGGGAGGCGCGACGCGCCCCCAACGGACAGCTCGACAAACCCGACCACAGACCCCATCCGGCACGACCGCCTCCTTCCTGGAGAACGCGGTCGGAAGGGTAGGTAGAATGGCGCAATCAGTCACCCACACGTCCCCGGCGAAAATCAAGAGCGTACTAATAGGAAACAAGAAAAGGGCGCTGGACGCAGAACGCGCGACCACCCCAACCCCGCAGTCCTACAACGACGTAGACATGACCATGGGAGACCAGAACGACCCAAACCGGCGCGTCCCATGGGACGAAGACATCGAGTCATCCGGAGACGAAAATGACCAAAGGGGAATCGACCAAGAATCCATACAGGCCGACAGATTCAGCCACCTCGCAGATCGCTCGATGAGCAGGGACGAGAAGTTAGATCACCTATACAACTCCCTCTTAGACGCCGGGTTCTTCGTACAGGCATTGGAGAGTGGGGGAGAAATGGATATTGCAAGGACTGACCAAAAAATCACAGGATGCATGACGGGCCTATCAAACGCGCTCCTCAACCAGCCATACAGAGTCATCATGGAACAGCAAGCAGGCCTCGCGAAGGCAATCCACGAGATCAGCAAGAACATGACGACGACCATGGAGAACATGGCGACGATCATGGAGAATGTTCAGAACAACGGAGAAAAGATTGAACACATGAAGAATGAGACAGCCAACAGCCTAACAGCAACCTCAGACCGGCTCAAAGCCTTGGAATCCCTGGCCACCGACACTCAGTCACGAATCGCAAACCTGGAAAACCGAGGTGCTGGACCCCAAACACGAAACACGGAACCCACCTCAAACCCAAGCCACACAACAAGCCACGCCACTGGCCCGACGTTCAAACCCAAAGGGAAAACTGAGGGAAACCCGGGACCAACCAAGAAGAGCACCAACCCAGCATCGGCCCATCACCCAAGCCGAGCGGTCATCCGTTTCCTGCCTGACGGGATTAGGGACGAAGACCGCCTAGACCCAAT